TCCCTCGCGGGGACAAGCGCACTCCCCCACATAGCTCAAGAAGTTTGCAGCCTTTTTTACAAGGCATACTCTAGGGTCCTGTTGTGACAGTCTCTTGCCACATTAACTTGCCTGTCCAACTCCCGGCAGAGAAGGAGCAGGAGCCTTTGCTAATGTCCCAGAAGTAAGAACGCAGGAAATTCGAACAAAACAAATCTACACGCAGAACACAGCATCTGCTAACCAGGGACTCAAACCGAGACGAGATGACTCCAGACTGTAGATGAAACAGCTGTCTCTTTAGGTACCGGAGGATTGAAAAACAGTTACTTGCCGCTAAGAAGGGGGAAAAAAAAGCAGATCTGCATACCAATTAATTATGAATATTCATCAAGAGCCAGCCTGCACGGCAGCCCCAGAGCTCTGCTTTCCAAAGCTCCCTCCGCCTCGCTCAGGAGGAGAGTGGGAAAGTTCATTCAGGCACATTGCCTATGCCTCTTTCAAGAACTTGCTCTGGAATTGGGCTTTTTTCCCCTGAAGGGTTTGGATCAAATCAGTTCTGGTCTTACCCTTTATATCTTCCATAAGGGGCAGCTTTTTGTTTTCTTCCTCTTTCCTCGTTTGTCTTGGGTGTTTTTGTTTTTGCTGCCTCTGCTTGCTGGGGTGGCTTTCTGTGAGAGAGGTACTCACGGATCAGAGATATAACAGACCCTAGGGCTTGTGGGAGGGGCTAAATTAGCCAGCCGGTTTCGGAAGGAACCTCAAAGCCTGTGTCCTTTTCATTGACTAGAAATACAGATTGGTAGAGGAGTAAGGCGGTTCGTTTCCCTAGTTACTCGAAAGCTTACTGGGGTTGTAACGGGTTGTAGTTTATTTTTTCCTGGGCTTGAAGCAGTATGTGTTCAAGGCTCTTTCCTTCCCCTTCTTCTTTTATATACCCCTCACCCTCTCTGTTACAAAAAAAAAAAAGAAAATCTGTTTTTCTCTCTAATTTTTTTTTCTGCAAGAGGAAAAATAACAACAACAAAACTCTGTATCTGTAATTACGAAGCCAAATAATTAGAAACCTGTGCCCTTGATAGTCAAGGCCAAGCAAACTGCTCACCACTGCCACCTCCCAAGTGACAAAAATCACCCACCTTTCCCAACTTTGACTCCCTACCTCCAAAGTCTTAAAACATGGATAGCCACTCCCAGACTTTGCATGGTGACCCAAATATAGGCGAGAGGCTGACCAAATAAATTTGAAACTATCTATGAACTTGTTTTGAAATGAAGAAAAGGGCTAGGCCTCAGGGAAGAAGGTAAGTCTTCAACCCCAAAGTCACTGGACAGTTGCTCCTTTGAGTTATGTGTTAGCATTTGAGGCTTAAAGGAGACCTCAGGCATCCCATCAAAACAAGACAGCAAGAAACTAAACCACCTGCTTATTCACAAGCCACAGAGCATGGAGTCCAGTTTCTCCTGTTTGCCATCACGCACTCAACACTAGCTCCTCCCACAGTGCAGGTACTCAGTTAAACACGGAGTACCAGCTGATTTGTGAACAGCAGCAATGCAGGACCGCAGACACCGCCTTCGGATTCCTGGCTCATGTTTGCTTTTGGTTTTGCTTTTTTTTCTGTATTTCTTTTATAGCAGAGAGGTCGTGTTTGAAGCTAATTATACCACAAAACATAGTTCTACACAAAAGTCTTTTCTTGGTGACCACGGAAGACTGCTTTGATGGCAATACATTCTCTTCTACACTTTCAGTCTGCTACACTATTTTACTTCAGATAATAAGGGGGCAGGGTTGACTTTTCAGTTTAGATGTTTTGTACAGGGCAGTGTCTGCCACACAGCATGTGCTCAGGGAATTCTGGGTACTTAGATAAATCCAGAACTGTATCACAAGACTCTCTGTGTCTTTCTGTGCATAACTACAGGAGTTTGCATTTAGAAGAACAATTAATTACACTAAATGAAAAATCTAATGAATGCCTTCTCTAGGGCCAGTTTAACCTACATTTCTAATAATGAATATGGGTTTGCCATTTGTCCTGTAAGAGTAGCATTGTCTTAAAGTGGCATAATGGGATATTTGCAAATATCAGTAATCTTTGAGATTTTGTGATTGCATGCGTACTGCTACTATTTAGGGGACAATTAAAAAAAAAGGATACCTACAAAATAATCTGTGTCCTCCAAGACGGAAGCTAAACTACCAAAGCCAGAGAGAGAGGGGGGCATGATTAATGGAAGATCCAGAGCGCAGAAAGGGTCAGGAACTCACCCAAACCTAACAGTGAACCCTCCATTGAGGCTATGAGGTCACAGTGCTCTACTGAAAACAAATTAAAGCCAGTTGGTGGTGATGCATGCCTTTAATCCCAGGACTCAGAGACAGAGGCAAGGCAGATCTCTTGGGATTCGAGGCCAGTCTGGTCTACAGAGTGAGTTCCAAGACAGCCAGGGCTACACAGAGAAACCCTGTCTTGAAAAGTCAATCAATCAATCAATCAATCAATCAAAATGAAAAATTAAAATTCGTGTCCCACTCAGAAGCTGTCGACTAAAGATTTCTTAAAAATCTGATTCCTTCTCTTTCACTCTCTTTGGCTTGGTCAGCAACAGATGGGGCTGGGTAGATAAGAGAATCTAATATCCAACTTCTGATTCAGCCAGGAGAGGTGTTGTAATTGTATTGCTTAGCTCCTTGGTATCGGTCGGCAAAGCATGATAGGCAAGCATGTGTTATCTCACATGCAGAGGAACAGCAGCTTACAGAAGAGACGGCAGATCGAAGTGCCGTGTAAAGGCCTGAAAATTGCTTTAAAATTCAGTATTCTGTACAAAAAAAATCCATCCTTATAATTTGGGTTTGTTTTTTTTTTCCCAAAAGAAAGTAGAAAGTAAGAAAGGTGCTCAAGAAAGATGGGGGTTGCTACAGCTAAATATACCAGTCCTCCTTTTACTGATGGAATGTATTTTTAACGCATGTTCTTAGAAAAAAAGCTTGATTTTTTTCCTATACTTTCAATCTCCTACATTATGTCAGTCCCTCCCTTAGCATCTAAAGTAGTTAAATAACTCCTACTCTTAACAATGAATTCTGGGACTTAATGAACATAGAGAATTCAGTTTTGCAGGATGACAACACTCTGGAGATCAGTTGTTCAAGTGCAGATGTATTTAACAAGGCATAACTATTAGCCACAGATGTTAATAGTGTACATTTTATGCTATATGTAGTTTTCCACAATTTTGGTTGTTTCTATTTATTTAAAAACAAATATGCCATCAGCCTGGTGCCTCTTTCCCTTTTCACAGATTGTGACTTTGCCTTCCCTGGGTCACCACCACTCCCTCCTAATTCCTGAGAAAGGAGTTGTGTCGGCAAAGACTGCTTGATCAATTAAAAGGCGAACTGGGATTGCTACAGTCCCAGAGGCTCAGGACCTTATCTTGAGCTAGCCACTCCTCACCCACTTGTGTGTCAGAACTGACTACCTGAGGCAAATAGATAAAAACCTTTGAAACTTAGCAGACCACTAGCTTCCACCAATCCAGAGATGATTTTACAGTTACATAAGAGAGGGGGAGGGAGGCTGTTCTAGAATCTCAAGATGCTGTCTGATGGCATTCTTAGCTTAGAGTTGGTAGAAGCTAGCGCCCACTAAGTTAGTAGATTTCAAAGGATTTTAGCTATTTGTTACAGGTTGTTAGTTCTGACACTCAGATGGGCAAGGAGTGGCTTCAAAGAGCTAATTACCCAAAAGAAGGTAATTGGCCTCTGGACCTGTAACATTCTAATGTCTCCATAATGGTGCAGTTTTAGCAGTTTGTGGACACAGCCTCTTTAAGGAATTCTCCTTTATACAACCTACCATCAAGGCTGTGATCTGCACTATTATTCTCCAATAATGAACCAGACTCTCTGGAAAGACATCTGAGCCCAAGTCTAAGGCAGAAAGCATATGAGAATATAAGTCTGAAGCATTTTGTAATATGAGAAAACAGGACTGCTATCCAAAACAGCTAGGGCCACACCAGAATGAGGGGCCAATCCCAGGTAGATGGCATTAGTCAAAGTGGGAAAAGTTGAAGCAGAAATCGAAATAATAACCACAATGGGTTGAAACTCATAAGATATGTGACATGGATGGGCAGTGTTTATAATGGGTGGAAATCAACACTCCACCACCTAGGTTGCACAACCTGTACCAGACAACCCAATGGCTCATGAGGAAAGTTCTCTTTCAAGGCTTACAGAGAAGAAAGGAACACCACTGGCAGCCTTTGCTTGTCACTGTTTCGCTAACAACTGATTACACCATGTGTTTATGGAATAATCATCAGTGCTGTCTGCATCACAAAAGGAGGTACAACACATCATTATGTACTTTCTGATGAACGCATAGACCATCTTGTCTGAAGCTGTTGTGTAAAAGAAGGGGGGGGGAATGGAGGAAAGGAAAGAAGGAGGAGGAGTTTCTAGGCCTAAATACCATTTCAAAGGAAATATTTGACACAGAACAACAGAACACATCAGGACGCTCTAGAGAGGGAGGTGTGGTGGCGCACTCCTATAATCCCAGCACTCAGAGGCCATCCTAGAATATACAGCACAACTTCTTAAAAAAAAATCAAGAGAGTTGAATATTTGAACGATTGGCTATTTTGTATTATTATTATTTTTCATTTTTAAGCATAATATTGTCACGGCTATAATTTTAAGTCTATCCGTTGGAGATACATGATGAAATGCGCACAGATGAGCTATTAAAAGAGGAAATGAAGTAGTATCTTCTCTATAATTTAAACATTTGGAACTTCCTGAAATAAAAGGTTAAAAAGTGATTCTAGACGAAGAGTGGACGCTTGGTGCGGGAGAATTGTCTGTATTCTGTCAATCATATTTTAATAAAACACTGATTGGCCAGGCAGGCAGTATAGGCGGGAAAGCCAGACAGGAAGTAGGGGTGGAGCAAAGAGACTGGGAGTATTCTGGGAAAACAGGAAGCTCCCTCCGCAGTTCTGCCCAGACCATCGGAGAGGAAAGATGTAAGCTGCCCCGCTGGAAAAGGTACTGAGCCATGTGCTAATGTAGATGAGGATAATGGGGTAACATAAGTTATAAGAGCTAACAAGAAGCCTGACCTAATGGGCCAATCAGCTTTATAACTTATAGAGATCTCTGTGCGATTGATTTTCTCTGGGAGTTGCCGGTTGTGGGGTACTGGGCGGGACAGAAACCCCAACAAGCCAGCCCCCTCATGTTACAGATACTGAATTCATGATGTACACTGGCTACAAGGTGGAACTGAGGCTGAGAGCTTGGTCGGTGTTTGCTGAGTCTGTATCCATATGCTACAATAGCTTGGGGTTCAGGGTAGCAGTGTTCAACTGTGGTAAGGTTCTGCCTAAAAAACTGTAATCTGGCAAGTTGATCATTATAAAACAAGTCAAGCCTGGCAAGATAACACTGGCATTTAATCTCAGCACTCAGGAGACAGAGGCAGACAAATCTCTGTGAGTTCAAGGCCAGCCTAGTCTACACAACAAACTTGATGATAGCCAAGGCTACATAGAGAGACCATGTCTCACAAAAACAAAAACAAAACAACAACAGAGCAAAAAATAAATAAATAAAAAATACCAGGTCAAGCATGTCCCTAAATGGTCAGATGGAAGAGATCATTTGCAAGAAAAATAAAAGTGATTGATCAATAAGCTGATCAAACCTGTAAAGAACACCAGTGTAAGCAAGATAGACAGATTCACCGAGCAATTTGTCTGTAGAACAAAACTGAGAAGCAATATCACATCTCCTTTTATTTTGATGTGACAGAAGTCAGAAAGGACTATACACTCCGTCCAATGTACAGCATGCAGTGCGGCTCTCTATATACCCAGTAGTGATCAGGCAGAAGCTACACTCATCAGACTGAGTGTTGATGAAGTGTCTGCATCCCTAGGGCAGGGGGAGGGGAAGGAGCTGGTTGAATTGCATGGACAATGGGCATTCTGGTCTCCATATTGTTTCTAAGCCTCCATTAAGACAGTAGTCCTTTGATAAAACTCATGAAAAGAGGTACTCGGGTTTTATGCATCATAAATAAATGCCCAGGGTAACTATTGTATAAATGGCTCACTCTGCCAGTTCCAAGAACGCCTGCATTTATCCATTCAGCTTTTGTTATGAATGAATAAACTGAAACACTCTTTGTAATATTTCAATGTTCAAAATGTTATGTTCCTTTGGTACTTTTTAAATAGCATGATGTAACGAAGGGGTCTTTGTTTAGTTTGGGATTTTTTGTTTTTTATTTGTTTGTTTTGTTTTGTTTTGTTTTTACAAGATGTGGTCTCACTGTGAAGCTCAAGCTGGTTTTGAACCTGTAGCAACCCTCCAGCCTCAACCTCCCAAAGGCTAGCATTTTTTAGGAGTGAACACCATGCCCTGTTTAAGGTAAAAAGAATATGAAAATAATGGGTTTTTATGGGACTCCTAACAGTGGTAGTGGGAGGGTGTTTCTGACTCTTGCCTGCACTTGGACCCTTGTCCTACTGGGTTACTTCGTCCAGCCTTGATATGAGGGTTTGTGCCTAGTCTTATTATAACTTGTTAGGGCATGTTCAGTTGATATTCCTGGGAGACCTGTTTTTGTTTGTGTAAAGGAAAAGGAGGAGGAGTGGATCTGGGGGAAAGGGGAGGTGGGAGGAGGGAGACTGAGAGGAGTAGAGGGCAGGGAAACTGCAGGTGGGATGTAATGGATGAGAGAAGAATTAAAAATGGGTTTTTATCACTGGTAACAATGCCAAAAAAACAGTGAGTCAAAGTACTCTCCAAATTGGGGGGGAATATACATTATAAAACAATTAAAAATCTAGTCTTGAGATTTTGTTAATTTTCACCAGAAGATGGACGTTACAAAATAATCCCACATTATCTTAGAACTGTGTATAATAAAGGGTTATTTATTTAGGGGTAGACCCACAGATTACAGTCCTCTGCATGGATGTGCACGGAATGAGTGGAGTGCACGTTATGTCATCGTCATTTATAGTACAAGAGGCCATGCACAGGGGGGCTGGTATCTTAAAGGCTACTGCTGCAAGAGTTTCTACAGCACCTCCCCTTTTGTTTAACTTAAAAAAGTTCTAAGCCTAATACAAAACTATATATAATAAGAACAAATATCAAGTATAAAAATTAAAATTACAACCAGCATAAACAATATTAATCAAAAAACATATGCTAAATGTTTCAATAATCATTCTACCCTAATAAGTATAAGTCTTATATTAGAAATGGTGTGGCTAAATCATAAGAGGAAAGTAATTTTGACTATTTAATCTTCAACCCCATCAAAGGCTGAAAAGGGAGATAATATTACTTGAGTAGACAGGAAGTACAATCAAGCAGTTTCCAAAATGTGCAGTAGATGACAGAGACAACTGGGTAATCACCCAAAGTCTCATTTGCAATGTTGAAGTAACCAACATTGGCTAAGGCCTATAATAACCATTTTCCAAGACAGGAAAAATTTTAGAACCATCCTACCTTGTCTTGGCAAGGTTTGGCAGTCTTTTTTCTTGTATCCTGCTTGTCCTGTCCAAACATCATGTATTTTGTCAGTGGTCGTGGCATGGGCAGTTCCTTGCCCAAAGGCCAGTTTTGACAAGAAGAAAACAAGATCAAAGTGTAGTGTGTTCGGCACTCAACCTTCTCTTGGGAATAGATCAGTGCTGTCAAGAGCAATCGAGTCTCACATCAACAGAACCCTAAGTTATTTTAATGCCATATTCTGCAGCTCTTTGAAGTGGTTGAAGATTACCTATCTATGCAGAATACAATCTCTATGTATCTAAAGAACCTGATTAGTCTAACTATAAGTATGACAAACATGAATGACTATGACCTATAATACTTAATACCTATATAACTTAAAGAATAAGACTTCATATTAGAATATTAAGCAATCTGAAAATATTTAAAGTTTAAAACCTTAATCTATCAAATTACTATAAAGACAGCAAATACATCAGTATGGCCTGAGACTCTTGGAAAGGGAGAATGACTTAAATAGGTGAGCGAGAATTTGTGTGTATGGGGCTTCTTGTTTTGGTACAACTGGGAATTGATCCTTAGACATAACAAAAGATTTTTAGTACCACAACAATATTCTATATGATATTGTAATGCTATCTGCACAGCAATATACATTTGTCAAAACCTAGAAAACTTTATCACACAAAGAATGAACTTTAATATTTATTTTTTTTTAAAAATTCAACAGGTCAAGGGATCCCAAAACAAAGTGTAGGTTGTGGTTTTTAAAAAAGTGTCTGATTGTGTTTAAAGTGTGGGACCAACCTCACTGAATGGCTGGGAGGAAAAAGGGCCCTGGCTTAAATCAGTCTGGAGCTGAGTGGCAGCCATCAGACAAGGGGGGCAGAAAGACCACTCACTGCTCATACTACTGGAATCAAACAAGGAGGAGAAGAATGGGCAGCAGGAAGCAGGTCTCTCTGGGTAGCAGCTTTGGGGCAATTTAAACAAGGAGAGGCTACTCTAACGATACACGTGACAACAGACTGGAATCAGAGTCATATGAGTTCATGTTCAGTTGAATACAGATACATGTGGACAAAGACAGCAATATTTATCGCTGCACAGAGATACTGGGCTGAGAATACACACGTATTTCTTCACGTCATCAGCTGACAGCATCAGCGAACAGAGATGCCTCAATAGCAACAAGCTTTTCCCTCTAAAGTCATTCTCCAATCCCTTTACCTCTAAAGTCATTCTCCAATCCCAGGAACCAAAATTATTCTGAGAAATAACTGCCTCTAGGGCTGGTACAAGCAAATGATGAGGCTGAAGTATCTCAGAGTGCCACAAGGTGGGTTTTTATTTTAAAATTTATTTTTTATTTTATGTGAATGAATGTTTTGCCTGCTTGTGTCTACACAAAGTCCAGAAAACGGTTTTAGCCTGTTGTGAGCCATTTCATGGGTGCTGGGAATTGAACCTGGGTCTTCTGAAAGAGCAGTCAATGTTCTTAACCATTGGGCTATCTCTCCAGTCCCAAAGTGATTTTTGAAAACTGTTTTTTAAAGCTTGCAAAGATAGGCACATCAAAATGAAAACAGAGCCCTGTTGAAGACCTTCTAATCCAAGCAACAAAACAGATTCTATTATACTACAAAGTAAGTATCCATGAGACTTTATTATATAGACTATTTATTAAATAGATAAATTTTTAAATAAGTAAATGGGAGAAAAGAAGCAAATTTCTGTTCAGTAGAACTCAAAAACCTTCACAGAGGTATTCTGCTACCCAGGAGACAAGCAAAACCCCTTGCGTGTGGCATGTACTTCGTTACTTCTTTCCAAAGAGTACACCATAGAGAGGAAGTAAGAAGGAAAATCAGCAGCGATAGTGACGAGTCCTGCTATACACACAATCAGGATGATGTCCCCAAATGGAACTTTATCTCGATGGTCTTCCTTCCAAAGCTACTTAACCCCAGGCTAACCATGAGAAAGATGACACAGCTATCCCCGACCGAGGGACACTCATGTCATATCCTGACCAGACTTACTTCAGACTCTCAAGGTCATCAAAAATAAAGTCTGAGAAATCTTAGCAGCTATGAGTAGCCTAAAAAACATGAGGATTAAAAATAATATGTGACATCTGGGGGGAAAAAGCTAAGGGAATATGAATAAAATCTTGTGTTAGATTTTTCTATCTCTGTGACCAAAGAGCTCAGAGAAGCAACCTAAGGAGAAAAGATGTGTTGGGGTTCAGGGACCCAGAGTTTTCAGTCCACGAACCACCATTGATTCTGAGTATGTGGTGAAGCTGAGCATTAGCAAAGTGGAGGTGAATGCAGAGTAGTATGTCTCATGAGAGGAAGCAGAGAAGTAGCAAGGACTGGGGCCGGGATCACTGGGTGAGTCTGTGAAGGACATCCCATAGTCAAGCCACAACAGATTCAGACTTTAGTTTTAAGAATGTTATCAGGGCCAGTCAGAAACTCAGCAAGCCAAAGCGCCTGCCATCAAGTCTGACAACCTGAGTTCTGACCCTGAGAACCGCATGGTGGAAGGAGAAAACTAACACACACACACACACACACACACACACACACACACACATGCACACACACACACAGTAAAAATTAGTAATAAGTGATTATAGTAATGCACATATTTATCCCAGCACTCAAGAGGCAGAAACAGTGGATCTCTGAGCTCGAGGCCAGACTGATGTATAGAGCAAGTTCCAGGACAATCCAGAGCTACACAAAGAAACCCTGTCTCAAACAAACAAACAAACAAACAAACAAAAATGTTAGTTCATTAATTGACAAACATGATATTCTAACGTAAGGCGGCGTTAAAACTAGGGGGAGCCACAGTGTGCAGCGTATGAGAACCATCTGTACTACTGTGACTTTTCTGCAAACTGAAGATTAATCTAAAATTGAAGTTTTACTTACAAATGTATCAAATCCAACACGGTATAAAAGTTCAGATGCAACTTTTGTACTGAAGTCCGCCGCTGAAGCACATTTTTATGGAAGTGACTGCTAAGTGGCCATGGTTTTGCAAAAGCGTCTGTTACACATGATTTCTTGTTCAAACAGAACCCATTGTATCCACATTCAGCAAAGCAAAGCAAACTTGGGCTGTGTGCCAAAACAGGCAAGTAGCCTGTTATCCTCAATGTGATAGTGCTATTCAAATCTTTCCATTCCATGACACACAATATTCCCTTTGGTCAGGGCAAGGAAAGCGCTCTAAGTTGATTCTTCACTGGCTGGAAAAGTTTCCAAATGCGAGTCTCTAGGGAGACGTCAGAAACTCACACTGGGGGAGAGCAGGAAGGAGAAGATTGCTAGTCTAGGCCTTGAAGGAAAAAAAAAAAGGGAAGGAAAAGGCTTGGGCTTCCCCAGACAGGCTAAATTATATGGGAACGTTGCCAGAAAACTGAGCGTTCTGAGAGGCAGGAAAGCTGGTTTCACCACACTCACCAGGCCCTAGCTGCCAGAGGACTAGACTTTCCATGCAGTCAGGATCCCAAAGTGCAGAAGTCTGTCTTCTCACACTCCTGGGAGGCAGTGGAAAGTTCTAAAGACCATGAGACCCTTGAGTGCTGATGACCTCACAAGTGGGGTTCACACACCCAGCTCCTAAAGACAATAGCTTCAGGCCAGGCTCCAGCTGGACGCTTGTCACTTCTAAGGCCTCCACCTTTGCAGAGATCAGCCAAGGGTGACAAGCCATGGAGACAATGCCAGAATAAGGCCCCCTGTTTCCCTCTATATTAGGGCCAGCAGAGCCTAAGGAAATGGGGGGGACAGGAAAAGATAACACAATTTTCAGACTTCTGAGACTATGTTTACAGACGTGTGGATTTTTCACTTAGCCCATGGGGTTATTCCAGCTCATCCTTCAAGGTCTCGTTCAAGCCATAAATCTTTCAAGTCTCCCAGCATCTCCCTCTCCTTCCAATTCTAAGATTATAATTAACTTCTCTTGAGTTCCAAGCAGCTTGTCCCTTCTTTAACGCCATGCATACCTAGCGTTACATAAGTAATATTTTCATGCGTACAACCCAGAGTGTATTTTGGAGTTCTGGAACCTGAATGAATTCGACTTCCTACACCCCACGGCACTTAGTCTAGCGTTTTGTATATGAACTGAATGTTAGATTGGTATTGGTGGAGGTGATAAGGTAATAACCGAAAAAGGAGGACCCCCCCCCCAACAGAAGCAGGTTGTCTTTCAATCATAACAATGAAAGCCAGCAATCTCTCCCCGGGAGTGGAAACTATGCGCCAGGATGCAGGGGGGTTGGGAGCTTTTTAGGGCAGAAAAGAGAATTTTGGGGTAGAAGATTCCATCGGCAAGTCTCTTCCCTGCTGTTTCAATGTTGTAAACGCCAATGGTGGTTGGTATGTTGATCTTTTTATCAGGAGTTCATGGATCCTGACAACTTGCAGTCAGTTGAATTTCCTGTCTGGAGTTCCAGGCTTTAGGTAGTCAGTCCTTTACTTAATATCGGACCTTCATTGGCTACTCTGATCTCTTTGAAATTTGCAGTAGGGACAACAAGTTGTAAATCAGAGTTTACGCTTCTAGCTAGCCACTCAAACAGTCAGGAGGTCGTCATGGCTATGGGCAGCCTGCCTGTAACAAGTCTTAGCTGAGGTGAGAAGAAATTAGTTTTCCCCTCTTGCCCACAGACTCAAGCCTGTCTCTGTCCAGTTTTGCCCGTGTTGACTCACGTTTCCAATAGCTCCTCAGACGCCGGCTGACTGACGCACCTGGCTTTAGTGAGGAGAAGCTGTGGTTTCAAAGTCTTTGGAAAGTGACTGCTGGGCTGAGCAAGCACGGGGGCCTCAGCCCGGTAGCCTCAGCTTGGCACTGGAGTTCTTCACACCTGTTGGTCTCGGATTTGCCTATCATCATATGTGTTAATACCTGATATCCTCTGGGGAAAAGATAGAGTCTATTCTTACCTGAACCCTTAGCATTTGGAAACCCAGGTGGGCACAGGTAACAATTTGAAAAAATTCTAATTAGGCCATTACGTTAGCATAAATATTGCAGGAGTTGATGCAAAGTAATGGCTTGCTCTCTTCCGTGCAGAGTCTTGCCCTAATGCGCACATTTCAACACACATTCTTGAACACCGACCATGTGCAGAGAACTTTTCTGAGCCTAGGATCCACTTCTGACCTCCGGTCTCCTTCATTTTCTGTCTTCTTCTATTGCCATACTCCAGAAGTCCCAGGTCTTGCTAATCGCGTCCACGGGTCTTCAGTTTTGAGTAACTATGAGGATGGGATTCAGAGCCTTCAGATACCACAGCGTGACAGGCTTGTGAGCTCAGCATTTCTCCTGCCCATGTGACCGCCTCTCATACTTACAAGTCTCCCGCTCTATCACAAGGATCCCCTTCACTTCCTCACTTCACTGAAGACCCACATTGGACCTGGACCAGAAAGGAAGTGTGACTAATAGGTCCAAACATGCCATCTAGATGATATTACCAAATAAGATATAGGGAGAAACACCAAGACAGAAAAGAGAGTTAGAAACTCGGATGGGATGAGTAACTGGGACTAGGGTCATGGCTGAGGAATAGAGATCTTGCCTAAGATGAGCAAGGACTTGGCTCCCATTCCCAGCATCACAGAAACAAGAGATTAAAAATAATAATAATAAAATTATTTTTTAAAATTGCTGTTCTGTGGTCTTTGCTACTTGTAATAAAATTCAATTCCAAGTATAAATTGCAAAACAATTCTTTACAATGAATTTCGGAATGTACACATCATCTAAACATTAAGAAAATTTTTAAAATTTAATAACCAAATTTTCTCCCCCCCCAAAAGCTGTCATATTTTAAAATTAGCCTCCCAAGTGTACCCTTGCAGAGATACTCAGTGTGTTCTACGTGGCACTAACCCAATGTGAAAAGACTTACGTATGAGATCACCGCTGAACAGACCTCACTACTCTGCTAGATGAGCCCACAAGAGCTCAGCTGTTCACCACTAGGTACCAAGCCCCTCAAAGATCCTGCACGTCATCAGACGGCAGCAAGTACTGGCTAAAAGGAAGTGCTCAAGTCCTTGATTCTGGTTTCTCCCTTACGTCACTTTTCACATCTCAAGGCCCCTACTTTTCTTACTATGGTAAAGACTGGCTTAGTTCACGTAGACTCAGGGAGGACATCTTCCATGCAGAAACACTACTTTTGGTAAATACTTAGGATATGTAAACAAAGTTGTACACCCAGAATTGCCCCCAAAGATGCGTGGAATTACCTGAAATAACTATCTGGAGAGAGCTAAGAGAATTCAACTTTATATTTTTGCATCTGTCAGTCATGTATCCAAGAGTAAAAGTTGAAGATAAATTCCTAGGCACTTCCCTGTGTGCACAAGTAAAGAATGCTCTCCCAACCTGAGGCCTAACTGCTCATAAGTGATGAAGGCCAAATCAGGCAAACACAACCAGGAGACAGTATGGGGTCAGAGAAACAGTGGAGTCCTGAGGCGGTGTGGGTGCGATACAAGTGTGTGGTGGGTAGCCTTGTAATTAGTGTAATGGCACTGCTATCTTTTATGTGGGTGGAAGTTTGAAGAAGAAATCGCCCCTCCCACACACACAAGCTTGCAGCCACTCTGGTTATAGTGAGTACCAAGCCAACCCGTCTTAAGAACAACCACAAACCACCGTATATATTTGCACATTAATGAATGACTTCTTAAAGTGGCCGGCCATGCTTATGTTGTTCTTTGCTCTCACCTCAAACTTCCCTTCACTCCTACCCACCCTTCTATTACTGCCAGACCCCAAGTTCCACAAGGAAAGGCCGGTTTATTATTTCTGCTGCATCCTCTAAGATGCCCCAACTCTCAGCACTGCACATCCTTCTCAGGGGTCCCTCCAAAACTCCATAAAAAGTCTTTTTGCCGAATGTAAATTTGGTCACAGCAATACCAAAGATGGCAGATGAGGCAGCCTGGGGTAGAAGAACACTGCTGTCCTGAGAAGCGCGGGCTGTCACGGAAGATCTGGACTGCAGACAAACTAAGCACCTTTGCCTCCGAGAAGAGCGCAAGCAGGACCAGAGCAGCTCTTCCCTCACAGCAGTCTCTACGCCTGAGGAAAACCCACAGGCAATCCCTTACTACTTCTTCTGACGTCATGGTTACAACCACATTACAATGTCGCTGCCCCGACTCCTGTTGCTTCCAAGTATTTGGTTAGCCTACAGTACCTCCATAGTTCAGCCTCTCAAAGGGACCTCTGTGGAAGAAGCAGGTGCTCAGTGCTGTTAGCCTCACCTTCCTGACTGAAAAGGATGCACAGTGATAGTACATAAAGATTCCACCACCCTTTTGTCCCACGGCTGTGCTCACAAAGGCAGTGAATTGCTCTCCAGTTAACAACTGTGTGTTCATGAAGAACTCCATTGCCCAAGAGACTCAAGGGGAGGGAGAAAGGTTCCCAGAGTCCAGCAGCATGGCTGTAAGGACGCAGTTGTGTGGGAACAGCTGTGGCTTTGGTGTTGAGGTAGACGTCTCCGCAGCCTACCTTGAGGCTTAGGTGTGAGCACTGTGTGCCAAGCTCAGGAGGCACTGGAAGAGGTGTGGGGGAATGAGCGGGGGAGGAAGGCGAACACAGAAGCAGACAGCTGAATGCCCCTAAGTTCAGCCTTGACAAGGACCCTGGGGAGGGGGAAGAACAAGGCTACTGGTGTTTCAAACCAAAGGAAGAGAAGTGGAGGCTTTGGTCTGCTAATTCACCTGCGCCACTGCCACACGGACCTTCTCTGGACGGACTGGTGCCTGTTAACCTGCCCTGTGCATGGACTCAGTATGGTTTTGTGACTGGAAAGAAAGCTTGGGAGGAAAAATGTCAGATGTATTCAAAAGGAGTTACCCTCACGCATAAGGAGCGGAGCAGAGAGGTTAGGTATGTGAGTCAGGGAGTCACAAGGTCAACAGCTGAAGGAGCTGAAGAATGAAGGCCAGAGCTCACACTCTTCCCTGCCTTGACACATTTCATCTGACTGGCCAACCGGGACACCCAACAAGGTGGAAGAAGACAGTGAGCAGCAAATACCCAGGGCTTCCGCATTCAGACATTGCCACGCTTCAACATTTAAAACCTCAAATAGCTCTGTGTGGCTATACAGATGTTATGTTTAGGTGTTAGCTAAAACCAGTGAAACCGGAAAGGAACTTGGAAGCGTTACCTGGCAGTCTAAGCAAATGGAAGAAAAAATTCTAAATAGAAATTTGCATTCTAGCTCTGGCTTGAACTAGTTGTTAAAATTGCTAGTTGGGTAAATCCTTGAATGTTTTCTTACTCTTCTAACGGGGTAGGTCCTGTTGACCTAAAGAAACTATTGTGATCCAGGTCTGGTGACACCCGCCCACAATCCTAGCACTCTGGTAACTGCAGGAGGGTCAAGGTTCTGAGACCAACAGGCACTGTATGGTGAAACAGAGGGGGTTGGGTGGGCTGCAACACCATAGCAGCCGCAGTTGTGAAAATCGAGGGTGCAATATTGGTATTCTCTTGCAGTTCTAGGAGCAAATCCGATTTTAAATGCGTTTAAGAAACAAATAAGACAATTTTTCCCACTGCTTCTTTAGAATGACATTTACATAAATATTTACCATCACCAAAGGGAGGATTTATTGATAATTATTTTATTTCCACTAATCCCCCCTCTCCAATAAAAATGAATTTATATTCTATTTATACTCCTCGCAGGAAATATGGCTCAAGACAGAGCACCGCCCATCTGCCCTAGAAAGCCCTCCTGCATTCCATCTCACAGGGGAGCTGGCAGGGGGGGGGAGGGGGGGGGGGGGGTGCAAGAGGGGGGGGGGGCTCAGGGAATGACAACATAAGCCTAATTACATGTCAGCTTTTAACAGATTCATGCATTATTTCTCTAGGTTTTTCTTTCTTTCTTCCTTTTCTTTCTTTCTTTCTTTCTTTCTTTCTTCCTTTCTTTCTTTCTTCCTTTCTTCCTTTCAACATGGTGATTTGCTTCAGCCACCACAACATAAGCCAGTTTTTGTTTCCTTCTATTTCTTACAGGGTGCTTGTTTTTTCAACCACTTCCTCTTAGGCCTAAACTCCACCCTGACAGCCCGGTGGCAGCCTCCAGTCCTGGTCCCTTCTTTCACCTCCCTTTTAGTGGGAAGAGCACAGCAATGACAGCAGCGGTAGCGTTCCTAAGAAATACTCGACAGACCATCACCTGTGTTTCCATAACCAAAGCCGGTGAATTAGCAAAATTATCATTTCTCTATGGAGATGCCGAGGTTTCTGCCTTGCTACAGATTGAGAACGAGGGCACAGTAAGCGTGAATCAGCCTTAGCTCACACCCGGTGTGGCAGTTCTCAAAAGAAGCTTTGGGAAAGGGAGACACCTTGTAAATGTGCCGCCTCTGAGTAAACAAGCATCTACCATTCCTATTCATCCTAGACAAAGCAGAGGAAGGTGGAGACTTGACGTCATTACAAAACACAACCTCTCCTAAGCAAAGGTCCTAACACAAAGGTGCCATTCTCTCTGCTGGCTCCATTGTTTCAAGTCTCCCGCAGTGGGTGGGGAGCAGGAAGACTTAGAATGGAGGGAAGGAAAGGGGCTGCCCTTTTCAGTAAAGCAAGTCTACTGGGCTTTGGTTATCTCTGCGTCTCACTGTGACACATTATCACACCATCTTGAGGAAGCAATGGAAGTTGCCCTCCTGAACTCTGTGGAGGAGCAACAGATGCAGCAGCTCCAGCCTGACAGCCCAGCAAAGCAGATTCCCAGTTACACTGCTGGAAGGGGCTTTTGAAAACCTCCAGGCAAGCCAGGTGTGGATAATCTTAGCACGCAGGAAGTGAAGGCAGGAGGGTCAGGACTTCCAGGACATCACCTTGTGAGTTCCAGGCCAGCCTGGGCTACATGAGACCCTGCCTGAAAACAAAACCAAAACCATGGTTTAGGGAGACTGAGTCTGAGGCTAACTTGAGATTAACCTGGGTTCTATAGGAAAGTCTATAAAATGTCTCCAGTGAGGAGGAAGAGGAGGAGAAAAGTCATTTGACAGAGATCATTTTCAGAGCCCATGGCATGCTTCTCTGTAGATTACTGGTGGGAACAGTATTGTAAGGGCTACAATTAAAATAGATGTTTAGCCAGGCCATGGTGGCACATGCCTTTAATCCCTGCACTAGGGAGGCAGAGGCAGGCAGGTCTCTGTAAATTTAAAGCCAGCCTGGTCTACAGAGCAAGTTTCAGCAAAGCTAAGGCTGTTACACAGAAAAACCCTGTCTAGAAAAACCAAATTAAATTAATATATATATATATATATATATATATATATATATATATATTTAAAAGAGAGAAAAAGATTGAAAATCCAAGTAATATGGAAGAAATTCAGTACTTAGCCTTACAAGGCTATTAGTTTCATATTCTCAAACTAGATTGCTCCAAATCACAAACCTAAAACTAAGATTAACTAACTAACATGAAGATTTAATTTCACCTGGGTTAAAGAAACTGAAACTTGCACAGAATGTCTAGGTGAATATTCTGATGTTTATATAACTACCATATCAAATATGAAAGCTTCCACTTGGTTAGACTTTTACAATCAGACTGCCAGAAACAACCACGTAAGTGGGAGATATTATTTTAGTATCTTTTTG